TTAGGCTATGTGCATGAGATGTATATGAAGCATAATTGAATTTCGTGTTGAGACCTGGGTCTTTATCTCCAAGATTTCATTGTGAATGTATATTCAAATCAAACTCGAAATTGAAAACACTTCTGGTTCCAAGAATTTTGGATAAGGGATACCGAACCTTTATTCAGAATAGGAAAAGCTATAAGCACTTCAATATGAAACAAAGAGATTTCTGAATATTCTGTAGACTACAGTAATTAATCAGTAATCACAAATACTTCCTCAACTTGAATAGGCTAACATAATAGCCCTTTCTTTTAGACAGGCACTCTGCAATAACTATTTCCTGCCTTGATACTGTCTAGGAATAAATAGATTTATGGGGTACAGAAGTTTAATTTATCACCATGTGGAATGTTTCTTAGATTTTTGAGAAACTCACTCACGCCTTAATTTTGAATAGAAAAATTGGGGAGGCAAAATCCTGTTGATATAGTGAAGTTGTCCCACTTACAGCTACTGGGATTCTGTCTTGTAAAATAAAACCTCTCTTACCCACTCCTGTGGCAGCCCAAGTGAGGGAGGGACACCTTTTTCTTGGAGGCTGAGTTAGCACCAATGCCAGTTTTATGTAAGCACAAAGTACAAACTGTTCCAAAAAACCTTTCAAATCAGATTCACCCCAAAATATTTATGCACATGGTTTTAAATTGTATTAACTTTCATAAGCTGTTTTTAGCTTGTCGAATTCTTTAATATATGGAGTCTACTTATTTCCACTGTTTTATTCCAAGTATCTGTATTGCTTTAATTTGCTCTAATCTATACATAAGGATGCATCCTGAGATTTCCAGATAGATATAGGACAAGATATAAATATTTATATCATCAAACTGAAATCTTTTTATATGGATTTTTTTTTCATTTTGTACATCAAAAGAGAGGATTCTAGCCACAAGTGATCCACACTGAAGTTTCACACTGGTTTGGGAGGTAACGAGGTTGGAATAGGTTGGTTTAAGTGGGGAGGAGAAACAAGCAAAGAATTTCGTGTTTTTTATATGAATTTTGTCATTGAAACACACCAATAATTGCTGCCTGTTGGCCTCTTAGGAACATGGCAGACAGATCAGGCTATTTGTCCATCACACTGAGTCATGTTGCTACTAATTTATAACTGCCTTCCATGATCTCTGGTAGAAGGGATTTCTTTAAAGATTTTTTTTCAGAAAGCACTTTTTCTTTTTCTCTTGCTCCCATATTGATGAATTCATCCCATCTTTATGACAAGTCATAACATCTGTTGTAGAGCATAGCTTTGGTTGTTCCAATCCCTGGAGGAAAAGGTCAGACACTGGAGAGGTCCTTCACAATAGATTTTGCCTTCCTTTCATAAACCGAAGTATTTAATTTTGCTTATGTGGAAAAAAAGAAGAATGTAATGGCTACTAGTCATGGCGCCCATACAAACTGCCAGTAGTCTCAAAATGGCTTTTATTTATAAAGGTCATATGGATTGCCCAGGCTTAAAGCCACTGAATACAATACCACATGCAGGTGTACAGTGCTTGCAACCTATTTTGAGAACTTTTTCATAGTTGCAACTCATTAATCTCTTCTATGCTGTGTGTCATAGACAATTGTTTCAGAAGGTTCCTCTTCACTGATATTTGCTGTGTCTTGGGAAAAACATATAGGATTCTTCTGATAGCAGGGCAATCCTTGACATTTCTATCCAAAATAAAGTTCTACTGAATTCAGCAGAGTTGACTCCAAGTAAGGTTCGCACCCCCAGTTATTGCTGAACAATCAACTAGCTCAGTCAAAGGCTAGGAGGATAGGTGTTGGAGGAAAATGGAAAAAACACATTTGAAAGACAACATATTATTTTCCTATGCTGGATGAATGATTCCATGCTTTGCAAAATTTTATGTTACCAACATTCTCAATGACAGCCCATAGTTTACACTGCTACTTTTTCCAAACATTTAAATGGAATTTGTCTCCCATTAGTATCTAGCTTACTTCTAATTGTGTTTCTGTAGTAAAACAGTTCATCTGTCAAGTACATTTCAGAAAAAGAATAATTTTTCTTGAAATTTTTCAGGGTTCTCTTGAGCTTAAATAGTTCAAGAAAAAGCTTCTCTTGTTTGTGATTTAAATGTTTTCTTAAGGTTTTTTGCAATTGACAAGGCAGATTATGTAAATCAATTACGCTGTCCAAAAGATAACATTCCCCTTTCAACTCTTATTTACCAAAAAAGAGTTGGCAACAGACTACAAAATAAATAAATAAATAAACAGAACAATTCCTATAAGTACCAGTTCACATGAACCAAGGAAGTAGTTTTGGAATGTAAGTGTTAGTTTGGTTAGGCTGACTTGATCAGACATGGTTAAGGAATAAGAGTACCTTTTCCTCTCACCAGTACCCTTCCCTGCTGTCCTTCCAGCGACAGGCTAAAAACGTTTTATTCAGGCAGGCTTTTAAAGAGGTTTTAAAGATCATGTCAGGAGCGGCTGATATTTTATATGTTTTTTATGGATTTAATCTGAATTGTTTTAATTCTGATTTAATACTGTTTTAATATTGTAATGCTTTTATAATACAAATTGAGTCTCCTTATGGAGAGAAAAAGTGGGATAAATAAGCATAATCATCATTATAGAGTAAATAGCTCACAGTTTGGCTGTGTACTTATCTACTTGAGTAACAGAATCATGTGCTCAAAATTAAGAATGACAGGACCATCCTCAGGATCTCGCCTAAGGTCTTGTACACATTATACGCTTTATGTTCTTGTGTGGAAAGTAGTTCAATATTTTGGTTATGTGACTGTTTGCTATCAGTTCAAGCCTAGTCTCACTTGATTTCAGAAGGAATATTTCTCTTGCTATTTCTTCATATCAGACCTTTTGAATCTAATTTTTCTTTCAGCACCTCTCTAGATGTTTTATTAAAACTAGAATAAGCACCTCTATCATGTTCAGACTGTATGAGCCAATTTGCCGCAGGTATTAAAATCAAAGGCATAAATCAACAATGAGATAGGTTTACTTATGATAGATTAGATTTCTCATTAAACCTTACTGAATGTCATTGTGTGTATTGTCAGCCAGAGATTGTGCGATTTTTGTGTACATAATTCAATCCAAAGAAGCATCGGTGCCCTGCAGCTAGAATTAACTACAAGGGAGGAATTTTTTCAGAAGTACTTAATTCTGGCTGAGCTTCATATCTATGAAACTCAATAGAAAAATATGTTGACTACAGCTTTAGACGAACACTTATTACTCTGGAAAACCACAATTTGTAAACATTTTTCAGATGTCTATCAGACTCTAAAGTACAAACTAATGCAAAACAACTTGCTAGTTTTTATCCTTGTTCATGAGACATATACTACATTAATATAGATCTACTGCCTTCATATTTCCCCTTGTTTTCATGTAATTTTGCTCTGTATTAAGATTACTGCTACTGTGCTGAAAGTATTTGGTAATGCCAAGATAACTGAAATGTATCTCCTAGAGGTCCCAATAGTAGGTTATGTAAATACAGGCAATCCCCAGGTTATGGACAACAAAGGCTATGTAGATTTGTTCTTAAGTTGAATTTGTATGTAAGTTGGAACAGATACATATTAAATTTTAATTCCAGCCATTTGTTTTTAGTTTAAGATAGCATAGGAAAAGATTGTACCATTTCTTTCACTGTCTGTGCCCCCGTTCAGAAAATTTCATCTCACTTTCTGGCTCTGTAGCAATTGGATTGTGAAAACTTTGGATTGTTGTGGAAACAAGGATTAGTGATAAAGCTTCATTAGGGAAACTTTTTCCTCACAATAACTCTTACAGGAGTGAATTTCCCATCCTAGTGGTAGATTTCATCTCACTTCCTGTTGTCTCACCCCCATTCTTAATTATGTGTAAGTCAGATGTTTGTAATTTGGAGACTGATTGCAACCAGAGTCCTCTTTTGCCTTTCTGAACTTTTACATCCGTATTAAGGTATACGGTTCTGGATCTCATTCTCTGGATTAAGATGCCATCAATATGCATATTTCATGTGGATCTGAGCAATGGGAGAATTCAAAGCTTCCAAAATAAACATGCCTTCTACAAGCTGAAAAAAAACTTTGGATCTTACCCCTATCATCTCCATAAGGTAGCACTAGAAATACATTTATTTATTTAAAAATATGGTATAATTATTCTAGGGGCAATTATGCTTCTTTTCTTTAGAACTGCACAAGTGCAAGACATTAATTTTATCTGAATCCTAATAACCATGTAATCATGATTGGTGCCTGCAACTGAACATGTGCTTCCTGTCCTGTTCCCCATCACATCTGTGGTTGTTCCCATTTTCCTGGGTCAATCAAACTTTTAGAATGGTCAACTTTTATTTTCCACTTTGTTTGGGCTTTTTTCATCAATATTCTTCAGAATTTGCTATTCATACTATTGTGGCTGCCCCAACAGTACACTGGCAAAGGAAACTGAGAAAATAGTCAACCAGGAGGATATGCCAAGAAAAAAAATACAACGCATGTATCACTAAGGACTGCAATTTCTCAAGTTGCTTCTGACACGATAAAAAAAAATCAATAAGGACACATCCTGGGAAAGTTAAAACAGAAGATAGAACTGGGTGTAAGTCTAATTTTCAAAATTTTCCAAAAAAGCAGTGGTACAACAGACTGAATTGTTTGTGCAGTCAACTTGCAAGTGACTGAGCTTGTAGTAATAGCAGGGATCTTTTACCCTGCAAAATTATCTGCCCATTGTGCCTTTCAAATGTATGAGCAGAACAGCTACCGAAAATTGACATGATTGGCAGTTTCTCAAATCAGCAGTCACCACACCTTAAACATTGTTGATATGGTCAGATAAGTGGAACTTTAAAGAGGTAGCCATTGTTGGGAAGGACTTAAAAAAGTTGATCAAATGGCTTCATATTCACCACAATGTGTGTTAAATACAGAACTACAATTTAAACGTGTCAAAACATCAAAATGTCAGAGACGAAAGTTTCTAATTAATTCAAGAAAACACAGGTATTTTTTGTTTTCAAATGCATCTTTACAAATATATATATATTTATATATTTTATTCATTTTCAGGTCATAAAAAATCCTAAACACATAAACCGTACCTTTTTAAAAAGAAAAACTTCATTCTACAGTCTGAGGTGAAAGGCTCCTAATGCAAGGCTGTTTTGGTGCTTCTCTGAAGATCTAGCACTTGGTATATCCTGCCTGCAATTATCCATTTAGCACAAAACTGCATTTTACCTGCTCTCAGATTAACTGGAATCAGTTTCCATAACTGCTTTTCTTCTAAGAAGTTTTTCCCCTCTCACAATAACGCCTATTGAAAAATGGTATTAAAACAGAGTAAAAGGCCACTTGTGGTTTTTACCATATTGTGCTGTCATCTTAATGGAAAGTAACAGATACAAAAAGAGCTATTCCAGCTATAATTACCAACACCAAAACGAGTCAAATCATCCTAAATATTTTGATGCTTCCACATACAGGTCTTTTGGCATAGGGGAGAAAGGGGGGACGCCTTTTGTCACTTTTGTTGTTGTCTTTTAAAAACAAAACAAAAACAAAAGCACTCCCATACTTGTTAGTCAAACACCTTGGGTATTTGTGCGCTTTTTAAACAGTGCCAGAATCCACTTAGTTCATGTTCCAATCCATTGTAACTACATTTCAGGAAATATTGGGGAAGTGCAAGTCTTGTATTCCATGTAAGTGGCATGTAGAATAAAGCCTAATCTTTAAAGAAGGACAGACTATTTTAAGGCACGGTGATTTGGGAAGATCTTCTTCTAAAAGTTTACATGCTGGTTCCTTGATCCTAAACACACGATGTGGATTATTCCACTGAAATCAGTGGGGCTTACATCCAGGTAAAGCGTTGTAGATAGAGGGCATGGTGTTTATAAATAGACATAAATGTCAAATTTCACTGTAATGTGAAAACAGTGTCCCTTTCCAAGTAGAACAGATTGGCATCTGGTATCAAACATAGGCTCCCAATGCTGCATGGAATTCAGTGAGGCATTGCACCAGCTGCTGGAATTTAGGTCTCTCCTCAGGATCTAGTGCCCAGCAACAAGCCATCACAGCAAATCTGCAACATAAAAAGGATAAAAGGTTAACTAAGATTGTCATAATCATTTCCTTGTCATCTCAACAATTGTCCCGATCCCTTAAAATAATAGCAGTTCAAACAACTTACCAGGTACTAAGACAATCTACTGAATGTTTCCCCTGTCAAACCTTAACCCCTCCCACCCACAACATATTTTAATGTATGAATAGGAGATAATATTTTTATATTACATTTTAAATGCTGAATTGTTTTTATGATTGTTTTTAACTGTATTCTGATATTGTTATGACATCAAATCGCTGCCGGCTGTGAACCCCCTTGAGTCGCCTCTGGCTGAGAAAAGCGGTATACAAATGCAGTAAATAAATAAATAAATAAATATTGGAGGGTATCATTACTCCCATTCCCAGTTTTTAGATTTAAAGCACTTGATGGGTTTTCAAGGGACTATTTTTAATATAGAAATATAATTCCTATTAACTTAAACAGCAGTAAATGACTATTTATTGTGTGTATACACTGGGCAGAGACTGAGAAACTTAAGCTAGGAAAGACAAATGTCTTACTACAGCCTGTAACAGTAGCTTTTAAATTTAATTTCATATACTCTTATAGGGAATCTAATTGTTGCCTGTTTTTGGTTAAATTTATTTAGCCACTTGTGCTTTCTCTATTTTTATCAGTTTTATACTTATTTATGCAATGCATTTAACAGGAAATAAAAATAGCGAATCTAAGGGTTCATTAGGCACATGTCTCTATAGTTAGGTGCTGAGTGTGCTTCATGATGAAGGAGCTGTTTATGGTTGAGTGTGTGTGTAATTTTTGTTTTGGGGAACACAGAGCACCAACACAGGTTTAAAAGTATCACAATACTCCTTTTAAACAGCCAAAATGTTTGCAAAGCACCTTTAGTCTTAGAACTTGTTAATTCATCTTCTTTTCTATACTGAGTGACAGAGTGGATGGAGCGGCATCTCGGCTTTCCACAGCAAGTAAGTAGTAGGGGAACAATGACAACCACACAGTCATATTACAATTATTTATATATTTAAGAAGTAGGCAAGCTTTATTGAGTCATTATTTTGAAGTATTGCCTAGAGATGGGAAGAGCTGGAAAAAAATTGAAAAACTGGGGGGAAAAGTTTTCCTTCTGTTTTTTTCCAAAGGCCCCCCCCCCCCCCCCCCCCCCCAATTAAAAGTATAAGATATGTTCTTTTCCAATGATAAATAATATATCTATGAAATGTATTCAAACTATATAACATGAAGACTAATGAAATATTTCTGAGACTTTTTGTTTCTACAACCCCCCCCCCCCCCATTTTTTTTGGAGAAAAATGGCTTTGAAAAAAAAACAAAAAAAAAAACCAAAAAACAAAAAAAAAAAAAACCACAAACAACCCTGCCTCCTCCTCAATTTTTCCAGTTTTTTTTCAGGCCTTCCCACCTCTAGTGTTACCACTTAAAGGGAAGATTTTTTTCCCCTTTGTTATTATTGCCTATGTGTGTAGTGCAAATTTCCGAAGATGAGACTCTCTCTATTCATGAAGATTCTGCACAAATAAGAAGGCTCTCTTCTTTGAACTGTGACAGCAAGTAGAAATAGTGATTTTTTTTGGGGGGGGGGGGGGAGACTACCATCTGCCCCCTGCTTGTATGTACACAATCCTAAGGTCTGAAAAGGGCTATGAATCACCATATAACCCTAATTACCACCACTTACAATTCATCAGGGCAGTTGATGGGCTGAGCTATTCTGTATCCATCTTTTAGATACGCTGCCATCTCAAAGGGGTCAATATCTACATAAGGTGTCTGTCCCAAAGTCATCAATTCCCACAAGGTCACTCCAAAAGACCACTAAAACAAAAGAGCAATGCACAAAATAAGTCATCAGGCAGTTTAATTCCATTCAACAGATGTAAATTAATATAATTAAAGCAACTTTTTGTATAATATATACCATACACTTCTCATTTTAGCACACATGTTGAAGTACAAACTGACCCATCAGGCCAAAAAAATATGATTTCCTAGTGTTGTTTGGCAGTTTATTAGTTTGTACTATGCAGCACATGTAAAACACGTCCCTATCTAAAATGCATGTGTTTATAGGGTTGTGTGTATATTTTATATTCTAAAACAGGCTTTTACAGCCTGTGGCCCTCTTGGGACTCCCAGAAGCCCTAGCCAGCTTATGCAGGCATGTTCTAAAAGAGTATCATGAATATATCAGTTCTACATTATGTCTTTTAAAAATTTACAGTTTCAAAGTATTCTTGTTACATGCTTTGTCTATAATTCTTTTGATTTAGTCAAATGAATATTAAACAATATGTTTGTTGTTGCGTGCCTTCAAGTTCCTTTCAATTTATAGCAACTGTAAGTTGAATCTACCATGATGTTTTCTAGTTAAAGATTTGTTCAGAGGGAAAATGCCACTGAATTCTGAGATAGTGTGTGAATTGCCCAAGAATACCAAGAGTTTACTTGGCAAGACATGTTCAGAGATGGTTTGTCATTGCCTTCCTCTGAGGCTTAGAAAGTGTTACTAGTCCAAGGTCAGCCAGAGCCATAGTCCAACCTTGAAACCACTACACCAAACAAATATGCGGTACAATGATATTTCTCTAAGCGAATATGAAAATATGCAGATATGCAGCACATTAATATTAAGGTATATCTGCTATTAACAATTTAAAAGCTAGTTAAAGGACAGTTGGGGCCAGAGATTATAGCAGAAGTACCACACAACCAGTAGCACGGTATTTCACCTTAAAGGCCCATGGCACAAGAGAAGTCAAACCCTTCTATGTCCAAACAAACCAAAGTATTAGCCCAACAAACAATGGCAGCCGGCAGCTGGCATATTTCATCTCCCAAGATGTCAATAGGCCCAGGAAAAGACACCCATTCACTCTCCTCCCTTGGCCACTTCCCTGTACTTAGATGTATGATTCTGACAAGCTATCTTGTGAGAAGTAATGCATGAGTCCCCTTTAAGAGTGTTTTGGAAATAGATATGTATTCATTTCTGAATTGCAGTAGAGCATTTCTTGTGTTCATTGTCATATTTGGGCACTAGATTCATAGGTCAACATACTTTCTCCTTATTTCTTAATTGAAATAAAGGTCCTGTTGAGATCTGACATTGTATAGTGATGTTATGTATTCTGATATAAAAGACAAACATTTGGTGCAACTGATAAGAGTGTAGAAAATGAGTATGGGGTACAGATTCAAATTGCTGACCAGCTAGGAAGCAGATAAGGGAAGGGCTTTAAAGTGCCAACTAAATACCTAAGGAGGCAAGTAAAAGCTGTAACATATTCATATTTTATCATATGTATAAGAATGAACTAAAATGCCATGTTTTATATGCAATGATATAATGTTAACTTACCACATCACTAGCACCAGAAAATTCATTGTTAACTAAGCTTTCAAGAGCCATCCACCGCACTGGTCTGTTTTCATTGTCTCCAAGGCAATGATAATCCATGGGAAAGAGGTCTCTGGACAGGGCATTGTCTGTAATCTTTACCTGAAGTGCATCATCAATGCTGCATATTAAAATACATACAAATAAGCACTTAGACGGATCAGTTAAACTATTTACAGTCAAACTTAAAATAATGTTTGATGTGGTATCCATATAAGCAGGATATGAGAAATGGGAAATTACATATTAATCTATTGCCTCAGGAGAATCCTAAGTTTATTTCACAAGAACTGAATGGAAATCCTTACTGATGTACACAAGACACCACCCTCCCGTTATTAATACTTTGGCTCATCAAATTACCGAATGTCAGGATGTGTGCATGAATACAACCTACTGGGATGAAGTACTTCAAATCACTTAAGGTTGAATGGATTGATAATTGAAACAACCAGAGTGTTTTGTATTAGGAAAGTTCTTGATATCACTGAGCTTTTCTGTATCCATTTTTTAGATAGACAGCCGTTTCAAGACATTGCACAAGATGACAGAAGCATGATTTAAATGAGGAAGACAACAGGCAGGCAGAGCATTCTTCTCCACTGAAATTGCATCCTCCCCTTAGTGTCTGCCCAATCACAAATTAATCTAAGGACACAAGGAGGTAAAGTTTAATCTCCTCCCCCTGCCATGAGTGGAAAATGGATGTATGTACCATTTGCACACATGTGTGTGTAAGTTTGCCTCTATACATATGTATACACAACCCCAACCACGCTGCCTTTGCTGCATTTGATCCTCAATGGAAAAATGGTTGCATACAATTTGCACAAAATTGTGATAAAATACTGGGAACCAGCTTGTTATGCTAATACCAGCCAAGTAGGAAATATATAGTTTGAGCTTGATGGAAATATCTGTTTGCCTAATCTTTCCAAATATAACCTAGCCTACTTTCGATGAATGTGGTAAAATTCAATTGATGGTCAACATTTGCCAAGTTTTCCAGTGAGACGGAGAGTCACAGTATCTAATTCTGATACAGTCTTTAAGCATCTCTTAATTTTATGGTATTGAGTTTTATCTGGGTGTTTTAACTGAGTTGTACCCTACCTTGAGCTATGAGAAGACGCAAGTAAGAAATAAAATGTATGATGATGAAGATAAACACAGCACAAACAGCAGAATATTAAGGGAATGCCGCCATGATTTGAGTATGTTTAGCCTTTTATACTTAAGTACTTACACACAGTTTCTAGCAGCCAGGTCTTTATGAATGACCTCTCTGCGGGCCAAGTAGCTCATTCCACAGGCAATCTGAATAGCCATATGTACAAGATCTTGTTGTGAAATTGCCTACAGAGAAAAAGCTATTATCAATTTCCTTCCAATTTTACGATGAAAGATACAAATATGTTTCGACCCTTTCCTGTTTGAGAAATGTTTATGTGACCCCATGTAAATTATACACACACACACACACACACACACACACACACAAATCAGACATTTACTGAAAATAAACCAGCATTTGCGAGGCTTGCCAAACATGATTTTGCTTTTTGTAGAGTACAGCTGAAGCATTTTCTGCCAAGTTCACTATAAATGGGTGACATTCAGAAACCTTTTATTGTTGCCAAATATTTCACGATCCCAACACTGAGCTAGGGAGACCCAATGTGGGGTCGAGACCCACCGTTAAGAGGCAGTGATGTAAAGTAGAAGTTTCTGTAGAGGCAAACTTGTAAACTTATGTCACTTCAATATTTTTCTCTTTCTGATGCCAACTGTGTTACATGTCTCTTGTGAAGATTCATTTGCATATCAGGAGACAGCACACTTGTGCCTTACTGGATATTTGCTTTATTTGACCAAGGAAACATTGAATACTGCTATGAAGGAGTAGAACATTTTGAGGAGCTGCCTTGGAAGAACAGGAAAAATCAGTATAGCTGCTGCTTCAGCCATGAACTCATCATTACAGCATTTTCTATCCTATAGCTCTTGGCTATTCTTAAAAATCAGTAGGTGTTTTAGTATAAAATACAATAAAGATTGTTATCATACCTGCTTCTCATATTCTACCTCATAATAACTTTTCAACAATATATATCCCACTGAAAATTCACCACGATCTTCACAATGTGAACATTGAGGAACTCTAAATTGGTGATTTAAACTATTTTATATGCTAGATTGGTCCATTTAGTTTTCTTGGCAAGGATACTGGAGTGGTTTGCCATTGCCTTCCCCAGGGATCACGCTTGGTCTGACCTCTCTGCCACAACCGTCCCTTCTTGGGTGGCCCTTCACGGTTTCGCTCATGACATCATTGAGGTGCTCAAGCGAGGCTTGACAAATTCAAGGCTGGGGTAAAAATTGCTGGAAGAAACATTAACAACCTTAGATATGCAGATGACACCACTTCTGATGGCCGAAAGCGAGGAGGAGCTGAGGAGCCTTCTAATCAAGGTGAAAGAAGAAAGCGCAAAAGCCGGGTTGCAGCTAAACGTCAAAAAAACCAAGATTATGGCAACATGAATGATTGACAACTGGAAAATAGAGGGAGAAACCGTGGAGGCCGTGACAGACTTTGTATTTCTAGGTGCAAAGATTACTGCAGATGCAGACTGTGGCCAGGAAATCAGAAGACGCTTACTTCTTGGGAGGAGAGCAATGTCCAATCTCGATAAAATAGTAAAGAGTAGAGACATCACATTGGCAACAAAGATCCGCCTAGTCAAAGCCATGGTATTCCCTGTAGTAACCTACGGATGTGAGAGCTGGACCTTAGGGAAGGCTGAGCGAAGGAAGATCGATGCTTTTGAGCTGTGGTGTTGGAGGAAAGTTCTGAGAGTGCCTTGGACTGCGAGAAGATCCAACCAGTCCATCCTCCAGGAAATAAAGCCCTACTGCTCACTGGAGGGAAAGATACTAGAGACAAAGTTGAAGTACTTTGGCCACATCATGAGGAGACAGGAAAGCCTAGAGAAGACAATTATGCTGGGGAAAGTGGAAGGAAAAAGGAAGAGGGGCCGACCAAGGGCAAGATGGATGGATGGCATCCTTGAAGTGACTGGACTGACCTTGAGGGAGCTGGGGGTGGTGACGGCCGACAGGGAGCTCTGGCGTGGGCTGGTCCATGAGGTCACGAAGAGTCGGAGACGACTGAACGAATGAACAACAACATATGCTAGATTAGCCACTTCTTACCTGAGGATTATTTGCTTCTACTAATTTGCATTGCCGTAAGAACAATTTAAGATTTCCCCAATTCATATAAGGCAACAACACCATAGGCTTTTCTCCTTCTTCTATGCAAACATGAGTGATAGGGAGAAGATTCCTGAAATAAATATAATTTTGAATTGCCACCATTAGAACTTCAAACAACAGTTTCATGTCCAAACACAGACTGGTTTATATTGCACTGTTACCTGCTTCAATTACCAATTTAATGTTTTTTAAAGACAGCATTTGCTCTTCATACAAAGAAAGCTAGCTGATAGTGCTATTTCAGCTTTTCCAAAATCTCTATCCAAACATGTTACAAAGCAGCATAGTGGAGAAAACAAAAATGTTTAATGACTGCATAAAGCAAAGTGACTAGATAAAAGAAGACACTGAAAGATTGCTCTAATTTATTAGCCACTTAAATGCTTGTATTGAATCCATACGGTTAATAAAAAAAGTAAATCACACATTATAAAAATTTCACAGTGAAGTTTATTTTATAATCGAAGGGCTTCACATGCACATCACAGAATCAGCATACTATCCCACCATATGTTTTCATAAATATTTATAATGAGGAAAAAAGAGATACTCTCTCAAAACAGCAATTTATGAACAGAGGTTAGTCAACTACCTTTGAAGAACTGCTTTGGCATAAGTTACTTGTCTAGTAAATAGATTGAGAATTCCTGATCCAAAATGTTTGAATTTTGATTCTAAGCACTTCATGAAGAAGGCCTTATGAGTACATACAAACTGAAACTTACTGGGCATTTTAAAGTAATAAAACAAGAATATTTTGAGCACCTTGAACCATGTCTCCAGTTTCGTCTCTGAACTTCACTGGATATTCCCTAGTTTCTGCTTTTTTTAGAAGAGAGCTTGCCTTGGTTCTGGTACTTGTTAAAAAAAACCCAAAACCGGTTGCTGTCAATGTTCAGTAAGTAAGCTGATAGGAAGATATGTTATAGGAAGTCCACTTAGAAAAGGTGAAAAGAAAAAAAGTATCCTTTTCTTAATCTCTCCCTGATTTTGCTGCTCTAAAAATGCAGATTTGGCACTCCTCTCTGTTACCTAGTGTTTTCTTTTTGTGATTTCTTCCGTCAAATGATAGCAAACTTTTAGTAGGACTCAATTCATTTTCTGGTTACTTGAAAAAATATTTCTCTATAGTCAGTGGTGTCTGCAAATGAAATATTTGGGCCATTTCATATTGTATAAAATAAGTTATTCTTTTTTAGGGCCTGTACAGCTTGAATTGCTCCCAATCACCTCAAAATTTATTTTCAGAGTTAGATTTCAGACTATTTATAATTTATCCAGAATTTTGGGGGGTAAAACATCCAGACTTTTTTCTCTCTCCGAGACTTCATGTGTGTCTCTTGGCAGTCTATGATGAAGACACAAATGAGAACATGGGTTGAAAAATGGGGTGAAGTGTTTATGCAGAAGATAAGAAGTTCCTTGCTTTTAAACAAGACCAACACTTACATCTAAACTATTCAACTCCCTTAAATAAAACTTTCCCGTCTTAAGCAAAAGGACTAACCTGTGATGAAGACCTCTGAGTTTACAGCTTTCCGTCAACATCATGGTCACTTGAACTTCTGAAGCTTGATCTAAAAAATGAAAAAAGTATAGTCTCAAACAGTTTTCTTAAAATATGAGTGTGGATACACACAATGTCAGTTCATTATGCATTAAAAACATAAACTAATAACTAATTACCAAACAAAAAAATGTCAGGCCAATACAATATCCATATGTTTTTTTTAAAACATAGTGATCCATAAACATGGTTATTCAGAAACAGTTTTTTCTGCTATTCCCAGAAATTGTTGATGGTGTAGACTAATTTTGGAATTTGAGGCTGTTGCTTTTAGGGAAAATAGAATTAGAATATATTGTGTTGTTGAAGGCTTTCATGGCCAGAATCGCTGGGTTGCTGTGAGCTTTTTGGGCAGTATGGTCATGTTCCAGTAGTATCTCTCCTGACTTTTGTCTGCATCTGTGGCTGGCATCTTCAGAGGTTCTGCTGCTAGTGAGGCAAGTGGGGTATGTGTGCGTATATATGAGAAATGTCCAGTGTGAAAGAAAGAATCCTTGTCTGTCTGAAGCAAGTGTGAATGTTCAGTTAGCAAGCTTGAATAGCATTGAGTAGCCTTGCAGCTGCAAAGTCTGTGGGGGTATTTGCACAGAGGTAGCTTGGCTGTTGTGCCTGTTTGGGAGGTGTTATCTGGCACTTCCCATGCTTCTTAGTGTTCCCATGCTTCTTAGTGTTCCTTATTTATTGTTTTGATTCTGGTGTTTTTAAATACTGGTACCCAAATTTTGTTCATTTTCATTGTTTCCTCCTTTCTGTTGAAATTGTCCATATGCTTGGGGATTTCAATGGCTTCTTTGTGAAGTCTGACAAGATGGTTGTCAGAGTGGTCCAACACTTCTGTGTTCTCAGATATTATTCTGTGTCCAGGTTGGTTCATCTAGTGCTCTGCTATAGCTGACTTCTCTGGTTGTATTAGTCTGCAGTGTCTTTCATGTTCTTTGATACATATCTGGGCATTGCATTTGGTGATCCCTATGTAGACTTGTCCACAGCTGCATGGTATACAGTAGACTCCTGCAGTGGTTAGAGGATCCCTCTTATCCTTTGCTGAATGTAACATTTGTTGAATCTTCTTAGTGTGTCTGTAGATTGTCTGTAGGTTGTATTTCTTCATCAGCTACCCTACACAGTCAGTGGTTCCCCTGTTGTGTGTAAGAACACATTTCCTCTAGGTGGATCTTTGCCTTTACTCTCATGGCTTGTTCATGGTCTTGCAACTCTTCTGATGTCTGTGGTGGAATACCCACTGGCCTGTAGAGCCCAGTTTAGGTGATTCAGTTCACCTTGGAGGAGGTGGGGTTCGCAAATCCGGTTTGTGGGGTCCACCAGTGCTTTAATTGTGCTTCTTTTTTTGGACTGGGTGATGGCTGGAGTTTTTATGACGGTGTCTATCAGTGTGTGGAGGTTTTCTGTAAACTGTGTTGCCCAATTATTGATTTTGTTTATTTAAAATATTTTTTAAAGGAGGATGTGCGTTTTTGTGTGTATATGTGTTTATATGTAGGGGGGGGAGAGCATATTTTAAACTAATTGAAGCAGTACAAAAGACTCAGTGATGTATTATTTTCAAGGCTAATTTGACATGTGAACTTTCTGGATATTATGTATATGACATGAACATATCATATAGCACCTATGCCTGCCTGCCTTCCTTCCTTCATTTCTTTCTTCAGTGGCTCAGTAACAGGGAATATTGCATTCTTCAAAAGGAAAATAGTATTTGTATTAGTCACATAATCATTTTGCCCTCAAATAGTTTTTCTATACTTTTAGTCATGCACTGGAGGGAAGGATACTAGAGACAAGGTTGAAGTACTTTGGCCATATCATGAGGAGACAGCAAAGCCTAGAGAAGACAATTATGCTGGGGAAAGTGGAAGGCAAAAGGAAGAGGGGCCGACCAAGGGCAAGATGGATGGATGGCATCCTTGAAGTGACTGGACTGACCTTGAAGGAGCTGGGGGTGGTGACGGCCGACAGGGAGTTCTGGTGTGGGCTGGTCCATGAGGTCACGAAGAGTCGGAGACGACTGAACGAATGAACAACAACAAACCTAAAAGAAGCACCGACCCCATGTACTCTCCTCGCTGTGGTGCCACTTCTGGCCTTTTTGACTGTCTGGGTGGGACAGGTGGCAGGGGTGGGGTTGCCCCCAAGGCGAAACAGCTGCTTTCCCCTCTCTGTAGAATAACTCTCGATTTACCCACATGTAATATCAAAATCCATCATTCTGGCCACAAAGTCTGCCCTTGATTTATATATGAGGTTGACTTGGACATGTGTATAAAAGCTATGTATATACTATAACTAGAAATCCTTCTCCTTTCATTTGCAGACACAGTACACATTATTTTTTCCCAACAGGCAACAATGTTCTAGGGTTATAAAATTCAAACAGTACTCCTCAAAGAATCTGACAGAGACATTACACCAGTTGAACAATGGAAAACTGACTTGTATTCAAGTACACACAGAAATTCAAGTTTTATCTTGTAAAACAGTTTCACTATTACTGTTGGATTGGACCCAAAATTTCATATCCATGAACAACAAAATTATTATCCCAACCATACCAGACCTCTCCTTCCACTGATTGAGCCAAACAATTTGGATCCAACTTATTGTGCTTTCTTATCAATATTATTTCCTTGTTTCTCATATCAAGATCAACTCATTTCTCCAGGAAAACAAGTTATGTAAGTTGAATCTATACTCAGCAATTTAGAGCACATAACTCAACTTGAAATGACTTTAAAGAAAAATTGTGGAAGAGCATGACTAGGGAACATACAAACTGCTTTATACACAGTCAAACCACTTTTTCATATGGCCAAAACAATCTATGGTGACGAGAATTGATTACTCAAGAACATTTTTCAAGCCAGGAACTGAATCCTTATGCAAACGTAACATTGATCTATCACTGAGTTATGTCTGACCTACAAAAGGTGGTGAAGTTTTCCTTATACTTTACCAGTATTTTCCTGTTTTGTACTGGATAATTCTTTGGGTCTTCCTACTTACGTTTCTCTAAGTTTCTGAGAACACTATTTGAGTTTCATTGTTAAAAAAGGTCAATAGCAACTTATAAACAAAATGGTTTGACCGCTTGGTCAGACATGTAATATTCCTTTTCTCAGGGGCATGTTACTACCAACTTATTGATGTTTATTTCCTTCTTTTATTGCTCCTTTTATTGCTCTAGAACAGTGGTTCTCAACCTGGGGGTCGCCAGATGTTTTTGGCCTTCAAACTCCCAGAAATCCTAACAGTTGGTAAACTGGCTGGGATTTCTGGGAGTTGTAGGCCAAAAACATTTGGGGACAGGTTGAGAACCACTGCTCTAGAACCTAGAGTAAGATTTTCACACAGTGATATTTCCCCAGTCTCCTAAATGTATACAAACTCCCTGATGGAACTATTTTCTCTCTCTTGAGCTTTCCAAGCTTTTTTCCAAAGAAAAGGTTGAAATGCACAAAACCATTTTAATAAATCATAATTTGTGGATTTATTTTATTTTAATTTTTGCTGTATCTCAGAGTGCCAAAGCAATGACTACCCTACAGTTAAGACTGAAGAATATTCAAGTTGAAAACCTACCTTTTACTGTTTTGACAAACATTTGCTTTTCTTTACTAGGATCTTTCTCTTCTATTAGAGTTCCATGAAAAATTCGCCCAAATGTACCTGATAAAAGGAACAAAAGAGGAAATGAGGCTAATAAATATATGAACACATTTTCAATAATTCACTGTGAACTAAAATTGATAGTAATAGATTATTCTCTTGTTAAGCTTTATATCCAAGCATTGTTGACATTTTAGGCAATCATGCAATAGTTTAATTCAGATCTGAGCTATCAACCCAAATGTGAGAAGCTGACGGAATTTTAGGTAATTCCTCTTCTTCAGATGTTGTGTAATATTAATAATGCTACCTTTATATTTAGTTGCAAGATCCCTTAACATAGTAGAGAGACTGAACAAACATTTTGAAATATATTTTAAGCTACACGAGACGATCGGACAGAATAAAGACGAGGCACCTTCTTTCAACAATACACTGTCAATAAGCTACCAACTATGAAAGCAGTGGTTACATGGTTCCACTTCCCAATAATGATTATTACAGCCAAGGGAAATAAAAATTATTCTGGAAAAGTTTTGGATACTGCAGTTTTAAGGATCTAGCAAAAGCCTTATAAAATGTAATTCTGCAATTATAACCCTGAAAGTAACAACCAAAATATGCAATGCCACAGCTCAGACAGGATCACTGAACCAAGGTTTGGCAAATACAAATTGACTTCAATGTTATGTTTCCCACTTCCACATTGCAATAAAACCACAAACTATCACAACACCCGAGAGTTGGGAAAACTATAGTTTATGGTAACTAAGAAATGTGTGTATCTGCCACAGTATGTCAACTCAAGGAAACAAACTATAGTTTGGATATGACATGTAGACAATGTAAGTGAGCTAGACTAATTTAATATAAAACAAAAAATAAAATAGGGAGGAAGTTTTCTGAACTCAAATGTCATAATCATCATTATCATCATCATGGATGTGATACAGTGAGCGGATCACAACATGCTTTCTCTGGGCTTTAAGTAAAGCATTCAGATTATGATTAATCTCTATAAAGACAACTAGGGCATTTCCCTATCTGCTCCTGAATTTCTCAGCTCTTAGTTGCTTCTCAGAGATAGCAATATAAGCATAAATACATAGTCTGAAATATTTATTTAATTACTTCATTTCTATCCCGCTTTTCTCACTCCTCAGGGAACTCAGAGAGGTGGGAAAAGTCTGCATTGTTTACTGTATCCTAGTGTTTGGCAAGATTGGGGCAAAGCAAAAGAGCTATCCAATGCAGAAGGGAAAAAAGTGAAATGAAGTATAGCAATATGAAGACAAGTACGTTCTCATAGGTCAGGCGTGAGAAATTGTTGATTTTTTTTTTACACTTGCATCCCTCTGGCTGTCTACTTTAGTATGTTTCAAGCCTTCTAGAACTGATGGGGATCCACTTTCAGTTTAATTTTGGATGGTCTTTGGCATTTTTGTATTTGGGAAGAATCAAGGAGAGTGGAAGAAACCAGAATATGTTTTAAAGTGTTTTTGCAACAGTTTTGGTATTTTGGGTGGCTAAGTTTAATTTTTTAAAAACTCACTGGGGTGTCTTGGAGATTAAAAAAAGTGCTTTGAAATTGCAGAAGGCCCATGTGCAGCACTTTCCCCATTTGTACTATAAATTATTTTGATGACAACCCTAACCAAATTTGTATATATAATTGTTTAAAAAACAAATGAAAGAGAAGCATGGGTTTGATTAAAATGAGTAAATCCGGCTCCTTTTCCTGGTGATTTAGATTGCACACTGTATTATTCATAACCATTATCAAGTATTTGAAACATGTTTGGAGAATATGTCAAGAAAAACAGAAATATTCTGTGTATACAATCAAAAATTATGAAGAACTATTTACCTTCTTGAAGAACATCTTTTAGTGTTATCCTCTCCCTGGAGATCGCTATGTCTTTCACTTTAGCTTTTGCTTCCATCAGGGTTACACTTTTAAGGTCATTCTTCTCTATCCGTAATGTAGGATAACCTGAGGAGCCAGCAGACCCAAATAATACCAATATAAATACCAGATGTAAATTCTTTCAAAACCATGAAATCATATTCCAGAAGCAGAAATATGCAGGAATTTAGATGAAATTATTTTTCAAGACAAACACTAGTAATCAATGTTTTGTTACATAACGTGTTACAAAATCAATTATAAATTCTTGCTAATTACAGAATACCACAAATATGTAGGTAATCTGTAAAACAAGTTTAACAAACAAAAAAACAGGCATATTGCCCCCTTCTGGGTTTTATAAGACATTGCTATCAGCTAAGTGGCTCCTTTATTTATCAACATTAAAAATAATGCATTTAATTATTTGTAAGGCATTATTTTGGAACATTCACAGTAATGGGCTGAGAGCTATCTCTCTAGGCAGGTCAGAGAGGTTGGGAAAATATTATGAAGAGGGAAAAAAAACTCTCCTGCTTCAACTTATTTCCATCATTTCAAACAAATGCAGTGAGAAAACCGTCCCATATTTAAGCATTTTCTATTTTCTGATATAAGCATGGTTCCCCAGACTACTGTTTAACTTAGAAAATTCAGTCACATACAAATAACTACAGAGCATCTGATCTAGTATATTTTAATAGGCAGCTTACCTTCTCACAAGGTATCACACATGGAAATGTCAGGGAAGGGCTAGTAACTGTCCAAATGCATAAATTATTGCCCCAAGAACGTTTTGACAAATGATGTATTGATAGAGTTGATACTGTGCCACCCCCTTGACCCAGGATACCAGCAAAGTTCAGCTGTTCTATACTGATTTGGTAGCACAAGTCCTCTTATGTGCCCTGAAGTTGCCTGCTGACTCATTACACCATGTTTTATGAATTAAGGGAACCAGTGCTGAGCAAACCCACCCCAATGGTGTAGTTTGTTTGTAATAAAAACGTCATGAAATAGCTTTCCCAGATAACAGATGCTGAGGATACAGAACATTATAACTGGCAGCGTGAATATAAGATTCTCTGTTTATATCAAAATAACTTATACAGAAACAAAACCAGGTAGAACATAAGCCTGATCCACATTATGTATTGTGAGAATGACCAGATGCTTGTTTGGTATCTAGGTTAACATTTTCCCCTCAGTATGGATTGAAGTGTACTGATATAACAAGAATATCTGAACACATTGTGCCTACAATGAAAGATGCCACTATTCAACTTGCTCTGGAACTATCTGCAATGCTCCACTAATCTTACTCTGTACTCCACTAATCTTAATCTTACTCGGGGTGAGCTCCCGGCTGTCAGCCTTAGGTTCTGCCTACCTAGCAATTCGAAAGCATATGAAGTGGGTAGACCAATGGGTATGGCCTCAGTGGGGAGGTAAAAGGGCACCCCATGCACACATGCCAGCAACACAGAGAAGTCTATGACAGCAGGCTCCTTGGCATGGAAAAATGGAACAAGCGCACCTCCCTATGGCCTAGTTGAGCGTCGCCTCCAGACGCTGGAAATGAAAGAGGAAAACCTTTACCTCTGTCTGTGTATTGTATGTCGCTGTTTACTGTGTAAAAAGGCATCGAATGTTTGCTTTATATATGTAAAACTGTAATCTGCTCTGACCCCTTCCCGGGAGATAAAAGCGGTGCTGCTGAAGAGGCATCATACTCGGGCAACAAGGAATCTCCTAAGTAAGTAATTGTATGCTGTTGTTTACTGTGTAAAAAGGCATTGAATGTCTGCTCTCTCTCTCTCTCTCTATATATATATATATAAAAACTATAAACTATAATCTGCTTCTAGTCCCTCTGGGAAGATAATAGTGGAATATAAATAAAATGTATTTATTCATTTAAAAATGAAATACAATAAGCCTTAAAAATACAGTAGAGTTTTCAGAAGAGGTTTTCAAACTTGACAGGTTGTATTATAAGTATTATAAGACAAATGCATTTGACCAAAAAGCTTCACAGGTTGGGGTGGGATGCCTCTAAAAATTGGGATACCAAATTCTATGAAGGATGACAAGAAATGTCCTCTCTATTTATTTGCTTACATTAACTCAAACAAGTAAATTGGAGTCCATGAGTTCAAGTGATTAAAATACACAAATATCAATATTTTTTCATTTTAGTTCCTACATTTACCAAGAAGAGTCTAAACACAACACAACATCTGCAATAGTCAAGAAAGAAGAAGTAACAGAGTGGGCCTTTCAGTAGTCTGAGGGAACAAAACAAGAAAGCTAATGCAATCTTCTTTTAAGGTAATTTTCCTATCCCTCCATATCAACTGTTTTGCCATAAGTCTGCATCAATGCAATCTGAGGTCAATAATCAAAGCGAATATTTTGAAAAAGGTCACACATCCAAGGTTAATTCATGTTCCGCTCCTTTTGCTGTAGAAGAGAATAAGTGTGCAGCTGTGCCCAATACTTCCTACACTCTCTCCTCAACAAATCTGCTCCTATCCACTATTTCTGTTCATTGTTCTGATCTCTAGCCAAAACCCAAGAATAAAAAAAACCTTAGAATTATGTATGGTAAGAATGGACCATTTTTCATTACAAAGAGTCCTCATTGTTTTCTCGTTAGTGTTCTGCTAGAATCCCATGTTTCTCATATACCACTAAGATCTGCTTTCACAAATCACAAAGATGGCACATTAATCTTTCTGTAATCTCTTCAAAGGAGAGACTTTATTAAAACACACATACAGATTAACACTTACTGGTAATTGGTGTTGCGTTGTTAGGTGTATCAGCCCTCAGGTACTGAGTTGTTTGCGTTGAAGGTTGGGATAAGCCTTGTGAACTACTGCTGTCACTAATGCTGTGTTGGAAAAATAAAATACAGGATTTGGAATTATTTCTGGAAATTCATTTCATCTTCTCTCCAAACCTCACCTTTTATATCTGTTAAACTCACCTTAAGATGTAAAAACAAACAAACAAACAAACCAACAAGTGGTATGTTATGTGAAACCAGAAAATAATAAATACAAATCTGCTTCTCCCAACTGAACATATTGCTTAATCTGTAGCATGTTGACACAAGTCAAGATATACCAAATCTCAATATCTTTTTATTTTTCAAACAAGAGTAGATGTATAAAAGAGAACATTGTACAAATAATTTACAGGAAACCAATGATATGCAGAACAGCTAGCTAATTCTGAGTGTTTTATTAGTGCTCCCCATACACAAGAGCACTGAACCAAGTACACAGAATATTGAGGAAATACGGACATTCTTTTAAGACAGTGTCCTATCATTCAACAACCTACTTAAATTTTATTATTCTTGATTATATGTGGGATGAAGCTAAACAACACTTCAAAGACTATAATTTTTTTTGTTAGAATCATATGGAACAGCTGAAAACCATGTGCAGATATTGTATGTATGTATGTATGTATGTATGTATGTATGTATGTATTTATTATTTGAACTTATATGCCGCCACTCCCCTGGGGCTCGGAGCAGCTTACAAGAATGGCTAAAATCTAACACAGTTTAAAAACCATTTAAAACAATTTAAAAACAGCAATATCACAATATCACAAATCAAAGGCTTGTCGAAACAGGTATGTCTTACATGCCTTGCGGAAAGCTGATAAGTCCCGCAAGGCACGGACTTCAGGTGGCAGAGTATTCCAGAGTGATGGTGCCACTGCTGTAAAGGCTCTGCGTCTGGTTGCTGTTAGACGCAAGGTCTTGACACTGGGAATTTCCAATAGATCTTGGTCCTCAGAACGGAGGGATCTCTGGGGTTGGTAGGGGGTGAGGCGGTCCCTCAGGTACATCGGCCCCAGACCATGCAAGGCCTTAAAGGTGAGTACCATCCCTTTGAAAGTGATCCGGTGCTCAATTGGTAACCAATGCAGCTGTAGTAAGATTGGTGTTATGTGGCATCTCATCGGAATTCCCGCAAGAAGCCGAGCAGCTGCATTTTGTACCAACTTGAGCTTCCGGATCACCGACAGAGGAAGGCCAATGTAGAGGGCATTACAGTAGTCCAGTCTTGAGATGACCGTAGCCTGGATCACCGTAGCTAGGTCGTCCCTGGACAGGTAGGGGGCCAGCCGTCTAGCCTGCCGCAGATGAAAAAAGGCGGTTCTGCTAACGGCGGAGACCTGGGCCTCCATCGTCAGCAGAGGGTCCAAAAGGACTCCCAGACTCTTTACCAATGATGACGGGCGTACGCCTCGCCATCCAGGGTAGGCAGCTGGATATCCCCACTGCCCAGTTGACCCAGCCATAGGATCTCCGTCTTTGCTGGATTCACCCTCAACCTGCTGGCACGCAGCCATCCAGTAACGGCACTGATGGAAACAATCGGGTACAGAGTCCGGTCGGCCTTCCATCTTCAGCACCAGCTGAGTGTCATCGGCATACTGATAACACTCAAGCCCAAAACCTCAAACCAGCTGAGCAAGTGATGTTAAACAACAGAGGGGAGAGAATGGCCCCCTGAGGAACCCCACAAGAGAGAGGGGACCTCTCAGAGACCAGGCCTCCCCTCTCCACTCGCTGTCCACGGTTGTGAAGAAAGGAGGACAGCCAGTTTAAAGCTGTCCCCCTGACTCCAGCAACAGCAAGGCGGTGGGTCAAAAGATTGTGGTCGACTGTGTCAAATGCTGCTGTGAGATCCAATAACACAAGCAGCGCTGACCCGCCCTGGTCAAGCTGGCATCGAAGGTGATCCGTGATGGAGACCAGCACAGTCTCTGTCCCATGCCCCGCACGGAAGCCAGACTGGAAGGGATCTAGTCGGCTGTGTTGTCTAGGAATTGCTGCAACTGCTCCGCTGCTGCCCTCTCAATCACCTTGCCCAGGAACGAGAGATTCGAAACCGGGCGGTAACTGGAGGGAACCGAAGAATCTAAAATATCCATATACATCTTTTTTATTCTTGGGAATATATCCATGTTGGATTGTCACGGACATGTTGGATTGTCCCAGTGCATGTGCACACAGAAAATCCCATAACCTGGAATGAATTATATTAGCAGTACTTTTAAAGGTTTTTTTTTTTTTTTGTCGTGTCAGGAGCAAGTTGCTTCGGGTGTGACAGAATTGGCCGTCTGCAAGGACGTTGCCCAGGGGACGCCTGGATAATTTCATGTTTTTATCATCCTTGTGGGAGGCTTCTCTCATGTCCCTGCATGAAGAGCTGGAGCTGATAGAGGAAGCTCATCCGCCTCTCCCCGGATTCGAACCTGCGACCTGTCGGTCTTCAGTCCTGCCGGCACAGGGGTTTAACTCACTGCGCCACCGGGGGCTCCACTTTTAAAGGTAAGGAGGGGATAATGCTATTATAAATTCCCTTAACATGAAGTCAGTGTAATGTTGTCAGTGTAAATATATTCATTTAAAAATACTGCTCTTTTGATGCCATTCTAAATAATAAATAATAAAGAAAAAGAACTTTCTAATGTGTCCCTAATAAAGAATTAATTATTCATTGTTGTGACATGGCAATTTATGTCAGTGACAAAACAACATTTCAATATCTGGTAAATTAAATATTCATTTGATGTTACAATAGTCTCTGTTCTTGGTATAATTTTTTACTGTATGGATCTGCCTTCTATGTAGGAAGTTTCTAATGTTTCCAATAAAATTAAGTTGACAGGAAACATATATTTCAACACTAGGGAGACAGAGAAGAGTAGAGAGAAAGAGAGAGCTGTTATGCTAGAGGATGTTTAAAGTGAACCGCTACCTTTTGAAGGCTAATAAACTGTAATTCAAGGAAAGACCACTACAGTTAACCCTTAACTTTTGTGGGTTTAACTTTCGCAGCTTTGATTATTTGCAGATTGTTTGGCACTACCTCCCTCCTCTGGCTGCCCCTTCCTTCCTGCTAGAGAGTGTGAGCAAGGAAACACACGTGAGCAGACCCAGCCATCACAGCAGTACGATTTCTGCCCATCAACCAAAGATTAGGAGGGAATGAAAATGAAGAGAAACTGATTAACATTTTAAAAAGTGCTGTAGTAATTTTAAATTCAGTATAACTTTGTAATTGGAAATGATCAATTGAGAAATATTTAAACAACTATACCTTTACAGTTGACTGAATAGAACACGAATATATTTTAGTTTTAAAGAAAGCAACATAGTTTCAATTCTAATATTAAGTATTAGTGACAGATGTTTCTGCCTAGTATTCATTGCCTGCTCAAATAAACATCACCTTAAAAGCTGAGCTTGAGGTTTTGTACACATTACTGTTGATATTAAAAATAAGAAAATAAAGAAAATATTAACATTAAAGCGTTATTACAGCTCCATCTACACTGACCATTTAATGCAGTTTGAAGATAGCTAGCTTCAAACTGCGGTGACTAGATAGCAAATTCTCACAAAAGTGCATGAAAGAAAGCCCTTAAATATGGATCTGTGCTCTGTGGATTGTGTAACCATCATCTGGGTCTCAAACTGGTGCCAGCAAATTACCATAATTTCTGGCATATAAGATGACTGGGTGTATAAGACAACCTCCAAATTTTCCAGTTAAAATATAGTTTGGGATATACTCGCTGTATAAGACTATCCCGCTTCCAATGCACACCAAATAATTTTTTTTAAACATCAGATTTGATTCCAATATGGTAATTTTCCTAGTACTGTACCTGTTTCTCTTCTTCTCAGATCTCGCACATGCATGCCTGTGCTGCTTCACTGCAGACCTCAGGAACAAGATCTGAGAGGCAGAGAAGGCGGTACAGTAATAGGATACAAGGGCGGGCCAGATGGGTGAAAGAGGCATGTTTTTCTGGGCACAGCACCACTCTATCTCTTTTTTCCATACCCCGGGCATCCCAGAAGCCAGCAGCTTGCTCCCTTCCCGGTGAGGCGCCCCCTCACCTTGTCATCAGAACCACATTTAGTCACTTCTTTCCACAAATCCTCGTGAGTGTATTTTCTTCTACCGTACTTGTACAGTGCTGCTCTTGCTGCTTTCACACAGTTGCCGCATACAGCGGGGATGCAACCGCAGTAGTTTTTGAGCTCCCCCCTCCCCCACCATATTAAGCGATTGTAATTTTCCAGTCTGGCTCAGAAGTTTCAGCACCCGCCTATAAGATGACCCCTGACTTTTGAAAATATTTTTCCTGGGTTAAAAGTAGTCTTATACGCCAGAAAATACAGTATTTTCTTCCATACTGGTTTGAAAATGCATCAAATGATCAGGATAGAAACGGCCTAAGAAGGACATGAGAAGCTATAGAGAACTTCTAGCATTTCTTATTTGTCAGCATTGTTTGGGAATTTTATTGCTTCATCTTTTTAACTAGGAGCATTAAGAAAAATAAATTAAATAATGGGTCCTCAAATTCACGTTTTTTTCTTACCTGTCTTCCAATTCTATTCTTTTCATACTATGAAGATGTAAAACTGCTAGTATTATTGCTATTAAGAAAATGACTGCACAGCAAACACCAACACTGATATAAAACACACGTGTAGATGTAGTGGGCGCTGCATTTACAGGATCAACTGAAAGGGAAGTGCAAAACATTACTGAAACAAAATGGATATAACTAACATACGCCAAATTCAATTAAGTCCATATAATACAATACAAGTAGTTTATTTTTTATCTTACTCCACTATAATAATGCTGTATTTAAAGTCTATGACAAAGAAAAACCCCAATGTCAACTGGTATTTTAGAAGGTTAAAGCCAGAATAGTGGAAAGTTACAAAAAAGAAGCCTGGAAAAAGTAAACACAACAAGAGTTACTCTCTTGTTTTTCTCCCACGAAAAGAAACAGAAGACTGATTCGATGAATGCTGAGACCAGGGTATATTTTTATACTATGAAACAATAAATATTATGCTAATAACAAAAGTAAACATTATGAAATAGTTTTAGCCAAAAGACAAATATACTATAGGAGATCTGTACTGACAGTTGTCCAATCCTCCCATGGTTGCCCATTTACTGTTGACAGAAACCGAATCAATTTACCTGCCAAAATGCATCTACACAGTAAACAAATTCTGTTTTCTGTCCAGTTACCAGTGAGATATTAGCAGTGCATACAAGCAACATTGATATGCAAGGGACCAAAGGTCACTCACCTGTAATTAGTTGTCATTACAACGATAGAGTTGCAAACTATAGAATTTTATTTGTAAAATAGAAGCATAAACTATACATTTCAAGCATACGCTGCTCACATGAGTAATATGTATTACTCTTTTATATTTATACAACAAATACAAATTTTGAATACCTAATTTAGTAGTTCTCAACCTGTGGGTCCCCAGGTGTTTTGGTCTACAACTCCCAGAAATCCCAGCCAATTTACCAGGCCAAAACATCTGAGGACTCACAGCTTGAGAACCACTGACCTAATTGATTTTCCTTATTCAATGTCTGGGAATGAAAGAGGTTTTTGATTGGCGTGTTGAAATCCCCCCTCTTTTCGATGTAACATGCAAATTATATTTTCAGTTATTTTATATTGAAAAATTGAGAAAATATACATTGTGATATATTTATATGAATGCATTTACTTACAAATAGCTTTGCTGCTATTTTTGTCCAGTACTGGAGTTTTTACTTCTTGTTCAAGTTCTAAGAGCAAAAGAAAATATGCATCTTAAATAACAAATCCTGACAACCAGTAATGTTGAGTCTTTGGTAAATGTTGTCTTTTATGCTAGAAGAAAGCATTTTACTTAAGGCTGAAGAGTTATTTATCTCAAGATTTCACTATGCAAGGAATTTGTATAATCCAATCTTGATCTTCATCAGGGGTGGATTTGCAGATGTTGCACTGACACTCTCATAATCTCTTAGCATTGTTGGTTATGCTGATTAGGGCTGTTGGGAAATGCAGTTTCATTTAGAAGGCCATAAGTAGCCAGTCCCTAATCTGCCTTATGAAGTATCACCAACCTGAAGATTATAGTAGCAGGGAGATCACAAGCATTACCACCATGATGGATAGCTTAAGAATTGTTCAAAGACGAGCTCTTCACTAAACCTTTAGTGGCAAGAGGGAACTTATGTTTTACATTATGATTTGTTTTAGTCAAAGAATAAAGGACAAAGGTTGGACATTAGCCGGAACCAGACTATATCCACATTTCAAAGAAATATGAAATAAATCCAAGCCGCCCTGAGTCCCCCCTAGGGGGTTGAGAAAGGCAGGGTAGAATGCTCAAAATAAATAAATAAATATTTTAATAATATGTTACTTAATTAATAAAGCTAAATCCAGTGTTGCACTAGAAGTCACAAATGAATTCTCTCCTTTTCCCACTGCCTCAAGCATCTGAAGGGGGACCTCAATTTCCAGGAGGCCCCCAGCTCTCCAGAACTCATTCTAGGAGTGTATGGTGAGTGGATGGGTTCATAGCAAGAAGAGGGGCTGCTACTCTCCAGATACTGGTGGATCATGTCATTTTATCTGGATCCTGCATATGCATACTTACAAATGTAAGCTAATGAGGAAAACTCCTGGGCAGCTTTCTTCCACTCTACAGGGTCTATTCTTTAACTGGAGTATTTTTTATACAAGTGACACACAAAATTAAGCATCATTGCTAAAAGCAGCAAAATATGTCATTTCATCAAACACACACACACACCAACAAAACCCAAATTGGCTATGTTTTTAGATATTCGACAGGATTTTTTTTCATCTTCTATATTCCACCTAACCCCCAAAACTGGGACACAAGGTCGTGTCCAGTTTGATAAAAGCATGGTATAGTTCAAACCTGCCAAGAAGAAATATTAAAATGCACTATAACTACAACAGTTTACAGATGGATTTTCTATAATCCCAAAGTTATTAATTCTGGAAACCATTCTGGTCAAACATACACTTGATTTTTGTTAACATCTTCATTAAAACATGTCTGAATGCATTGGGGGACATGTATATCATGGTATGATACTGAAACATTATGATAAATAACACAAATTACTGTTTTTACAGTTTATCAGTGTTTTCTAGAGTTAATTAATGGTAAACAAGCAACTGCACTTGTATGCTTATTCCTTCATATGTTTAATTGAACAATCTCAGCAATGTTCTGTCATTTCAGCAATCCTATACATTTATATAGCCAATAATAAAAGTGTAGATGTAGCACTGCATTTAGAGACAATAAAAATATTTATTATAGCTATTAGGTAGTCTAATTTTTTTTATCTGTACCTGACGTCGGGTTCTTTTGAATTCTTTTACTACAATTTATCTGAAGAATTTTTGAAACTTTATCCTTCATTACACTCCAATACACTACCTCAACAAGGCTATCTCAGAGTCTTAAAAGCCAGACCAAATAGGTTTGACATTTGTTTCCAGATATGGAAACTTCAATTTCTAAATGTAATTGCACCTTCTAGCAATTCACTTTCTCTGGACCTTAAGAAGGGCCCTGTACATTGAGAAGAGAAGAAGATGGCGAGAAAAGGATCCTTGTTGAGAGTAATGCCTATAAAATGAATAAATCAAAATGCCTTACTTTTATAGCACATTTTCCTTCGTTTGAAATTTAAGACTGTGATATTTTTGGAAGCATTTACTGTCATGTTGAGTTGCATTAGTACTGTAACCTCAGAGTCTAGTCGGCCAGTGCAAGAAAGTTCCACTCGAAATACTGCAAATAGAAAAAAAAAAACCATAAATGTACATGCTTTTAAAAAGTAAACATTTTAAATGATGTACTTCTTACCTTCAGGGTATTTTTTAACAATATTGCCACTGATAAGATTTAAAAAGTACAATTCTTATTATTTCCTTCAAGTTCTTTGCTACACAAAAATATCATTTTCCTTCCTAAAACAATGTGTCAGATTTCTAATGGCCATTACAGCACAATTTAAATTTTCTTTTTAATGAACCCTTTGAATTTTAATTCATTACTAAGTACATGCCAATTTCTTTGCACTTGATATTCAACCTCCAATGCCACTGCACAGGCATATATCACCTTTAAAAGACAATATTAAAATGTTCAGTATACTTTGCTAAAAGTAATGAGAAATTTGCCTAGTACACCTTACACGCCAAGAGTTGTCTCAATCAGTCCTTCTCAGAATAGATGACCTGTTAAAACTGCCAAAGCATCAGAGGGAAAAGAACACACTTGACCATGAAGAATCAAACCAATCAGCCCCTCCTCCATCTTGTCATGCTCCAGAGAAGGAAAGACCAACACATGAGGAAGCCCACAGCTTTTTGGCTGAATGCAACCAAGCAATTCTGATTCTCTTTCCTAAGTGAAAAAGATGTAAAGGTATCCTTGTCTATGGTCTGCCAATGTATTTAAAACACCAAATTGGGCACAATGCCTCCTCTGATCCTCTATTACAAAGGATTTATTTGGTGGCCACCAAAACTAAATTAAGGTGGTTGGGCTCCTTCAAAGAAGGGGCAGCTCTGGGAGAAGGCATGATCCACAGACCCTTGATATCCCCAGGAGCATTCCTGCCTTCACAGCATCACTATAGAAGAAACTTGACAACATATTAGCAGAAACAGCACGGTGTCCTAGCCACTTAGGGCCCTATAGCATTTGTTGTAACTGCACCAATGCTGACAGTTTTTGTTGTTGTTTATTATTCGTTCAGTCGCTTCCGACTCTTCATGACCTCATGAACCAGCCCACGCCAGAGCTCCCTGCTGGCCATCACCACCCCAGCTCCTTCAGTCAAGCCAGCTCCTTCAGAGTCAAGCAGACAGTCTACAATGGTGTTAAGTCTAGAAATTACCATATGATCTTGAATTCTATAACAAAAAACAGGAACAAAGTTCACATAGTGCTCATTGCTGTACTGAGAAATGACTAAGCATTGATTGCTCACATCTGAGGGTTTTCTCTGCCTGTCCTTTTAGCAGTAGGAGTTTTATACAGAAGTATCACATGAAGCACAAGAAGCTGAGGATGGATGAAAATACATCTCTCCCCATGTACATAAAGAAGCACTTTTGACTTTTTGTATACGATGGAAGGCAGAATGTAATGAAGTCAAGATGGCAATATTTTAGCAACTATTAATATATTCAAAAAGGGAAGAATCAGACCAAGCAGACAAATGGTTATAATCTAAGCTGCAACAAAGAAGTCCAGTTAAAACAATGTTGCGGTAACATATTTAGTAATACAGTCCATCATATGGAAATATCTGGATAATATGATCAAGAGCAGACATTGATTTCCAAATGCCACAAATTACCAGTTTAGGAATGAACAGCATGCATTTGAACAGGATGCATGTCACTAGATTTACTACCATTTCTTGAAAGATTGTTCTTTTCTGTGAAGCCCAAAAAAGAACCAGGCTGTCATATACAATTTATATGTCAATGGCAGGTTATACTGCTCATTGATTAATAAAACCAGAATGAACTCGACAAAATAATATTTAAAATTTGCAGAATTCAACTTTTCTTGATGTAAAATTTTAGTTATTTAGTGCCTAGTTTATTCAGTCTTTTCTCATAATTTTATGTGCATGAGTCACTACAGGTTGAGATTATAGATCCTCTCCACCCTCACAAAATGACAATTCAAGATACTAGAGCAAGTAGTAAGAAACATTTTATACAGCGTATAACTATTTACTTATCCAATAGAAGATTTATTACCAGATAACGTGTGAGGAACTTCTCCTTGGTCAGAAATATTGGCCTGTGGCATATCCATAGCCAAAAGATTATCAACCTGAAACCCCAGCTTATATTCAATCTGTAATGAGATGCAAAAGAATAAAAAAGGGAAAATATGCTAAATACAATGGCAAGTATTTTAATGATAAATTAGCAACCAAATGATTCAAAGTATGCTGTTAAGTGCTAAACTCAACAATCGTAAGGCAAATTTCAAAGACTACACCAGACAGTTGTTTACCATCATTTTGTGGTTAGTATCTACATGTGTCCCAACTACAGAAATATCTGTGTCTTTGAGGGGTTGGATATCTTAATGAAAAATTGAAGAGAAGTATAAACTATGCCAAAACCAGGATATAGGAGCAGACATGGGAAAAATACCAGGCACTTTCCAGCAGATTACATATTCAGGCTGTCTGTGGCATTTACCAAACATGGCATTTACCAGACATTTTTCTCAGCAGAAAAAATACAGCCTACATATTCGCCTGAATATTGGATTTTGCTTTATTAAACTAGGTATGAAATTATTAGTCTCGGAATCATACTCAAATATTTAAACTAAAAGACAAGTATAGTCAGTTCTCCACATTAACTGGGATTAGATGTGTAGGACCTCCGCAAAAGTAGGAAAGCCACAAATTAAAAATGGCCATTATCATTTTTCCTGAGGGAACACCTTTTGACGAACCTCTAGGTCTCCACCACAGCTCTACTGTCAACTTCCAAAGGAAGCTGACCACAGAATAGCACTGGAGAACCTAGCTATTCCTACAGAGAACAATTTAATTATATCCCTAGAAGTCAAACTTGTAAATGTGGAGGGATGACTTGAAACACATGTTTAGTGTTCAAACAAAGACATTCTCATGTTGATCCGATAATAAATCTTTTCTCTTGCAAGTAATGCAGAGTTTGAATAAAGATACTGAAAAACCTGGAGAATTAAAGCTGTTCTGTTGGCAGGTGAAACAAAACTGAGGCAACGGTAGCTTAGCAGTAGGGACAAATGCAATAAGAAGGTGGAGGAAAGGGAAAGGGGAGAAATTGTCAAGCTACTGAGCTCTGGAACATTCCAAACCAAGTCTAATTCAGGCACAAAACCCATTTGAGAGAGGTACAGACTCCACAAAGAACTATGAATAATTGCAATGGGGAAGAGAATCTGAACTTAGAAAAAGAGGCAAAAGCAAGGATGGCTGAGCTTATTCATTAAAACCAAATAATGATTTGACAGCTGAACTGTTTGAAATGAGACTCTATTGTGGAGGATAGGGCTGGGTTTCCATTTTGAGCAATGTGAAACAATGGTGTTATGTGTACTTTAGATGACTAGTTCCAAAACAGCCTTGTACTTCAAATTCTCCAGTTTGGAGTGACAGGTGTGAGCTTTTTTAAACTGCCCTGGACATCCAGGGCCCTATGGTGGCAAGCATAATCCACTGCTCTTTCCTAACGTTCCAAGTCTGGAGTTGAAAGTAGAAAATCTTCTCTGTTCCACACGTTTTGCTTACCTTTGCCTTAGCGTGCCAACTGAAATGGAGGTTGTTTGTCTCTACAGGTACTAGTAGATTAAATGACAAAGCGTAGTGATTGATAAGATCATTCCTCACATAATAAAGTTCTGCATCAATACCTAAAATATTGAAAAAAGAAAAATAATGAATAACTAAGCTACAGGCACAATCAATGTTCAATACAAGAAACAAAGATAACAGCTGTTCATGTTTAAGAGGGAGGAAAACAAATACTGTATTTAGTGTCAGCAAAAATGTCAAAATATATATAAATCAAGTTGGCACTTACTCAATGTTACAGACACCATAAGGGTTGTAGACAAAAGTGATTCCAGCAATTTTAAGGTGACAACCCAAACATGAGCTTTTCTTTTTAACTATACAAAGTAACATTTGTAACTCCCTGCACAAATCGATATTGAAATTTCGTCGGCGGTGAATGTTTTAAAAACATTTTGGCAGATTATGACAATCTTGAACCTATTCCTTATTATTACAATTCCCCATGCCTGTTTGATCATGTTGAATCTATTAAGAAATTCACCCTATGTCAAAACCCACAGAATGATTTAAAGAAGGCTGAACTAGTTTCTTGTGATTTAGTCACATTCTTTATCACATGCTTTTCTCTTCTGACAGCAGATATTTTTTCAACAACATTCCAGTAACCTGAATAATAACTGGTTTAGTTTCACTATTTATTAGTACTATTTATTATTAAAGATATTAGTCATCAAAGACAGAAAAGCATAGATTTGACTGTCTATCAAAAACTCAATGAAGACAGCCTGATTTCATTTGAAATCACCAACCCAGCCCTTTACGCGCGGGGGGGGGGGGGGGGGGGGGGGGGGGGGGGGGGGAGGACATGCAATATAGGCTTGGTTGACAAAAAAAAGGTTCAAAAATCATTTCGGATGTAGGGGCGCTGGTGGTTCAATTCTAAAGTCACTTCCTAATTTTTTTAAAAAAATCAAAACTTTCAGAAACTTCTGAATTGTCTCTTTAATGGCAGACGCGCATGCGCAGTAGGAAAAAAACCAGCACTGGCACTGGGGAAACTTCAGGGGCTTCTCCCTCTCTCATTTATAGACCAATCCTGATGAAACTTTCTACAGTGGTAGAACACATGGACCACTGTTCGTTCACCAAATTTCATAACCTTTGACTTATCCATGGATTTTTGGCAAATTTTCAAAGTTTTTATAAAAAAACATTTTTTAATAATAAAGAAAATCTATTCCTGGTTTGAAAATGTTATTTCATCTTTCATTGGGTGGTTTTTACTTTGAAAATAGTTGCTCTACTCCAGAAACTTCGCTTGTGTGGCTCAAACTGTGTTAAATTGGTGGAGACCAAAATCATAGTACAGACCCTATCAAGGGACATCTAGACTGACCCCTTTCTTCTGGGCAGAAAGGCACTATCCAAACTCTCCTGACATCCATTTCCTTCCTCTACTGAGTTGGAGGGGACCTGCAAGACACACCCATCTATTTATTCCTTTTTGCAGATGCAATCAATCATGTAATTTTATCATTACTTATTGATGTATATATATATATATACTTATTGATGTATATATATATGTATATATATATATTCAACTAAGCTCTGTTCTTTTAGGCATTACATTACACCAACTTTTGACATACTCTCTATTAGGCTCAATTCATATACTTTGCTATATACCCATTTATGACTTCATCAGAAAACAATATTACTCTTTCACAACCCAAATGTACAAACTACATTAAAATGTGTATATATCTGAGATAATGCAAGGCAATGCAATATTTTATTTATAAAACACAATATAGTTTCCTCTTAAGCATCAGAACAGCATGTTTTAGTCCCAGAGCTATCAGTGTCACTTGCACAGTGACCTAGTTTCAGTTACTTGCCATGTTATGTATTTAAAACAAAAACCCAAGAACAGCTGGGATAAAAATACTGTTTTTGCCGCTGGAATGCTATTTTATTTGAACAAATGTTAACGTAATATGACAAATAAAGTTCCATTCTGTTTTCAATAAACAATGCAGCGGAAATTCAAGTTATGTACTGTGGTTGTAAGTAGGCTGGGCTCATTTACTGGGATAGGCACTGGAATTCTCACTGGAAATATGAGAATTATAGAAAACCTTAACCTCAACCACATTGCTAACTCTTTTTAAACTTCAATATATTGGAATTGCCACTGGACTGAAAACTCCCCCTAAACTCATTCAAAGAAAGTTTATTTTTTTAAGGTTCTGGCGCATTACAGTTGGTTGTTTCATCCATGAAAGTTATCGCAATTATATATACATCAAATGATTAATATATGCATATGCATATTTTGTCTTTGTTTGTAAGGTTATCAAAACATCCAGACTTTTTCAGCATAACTGTTGAGCAAATAGTGCAGCCCTCCATGCTCATAGGCATCTCTGAACCCTGTACTATTTGTCAAAATCTTTTCTTCTGTAGTCCACAGAATCATAGGATCTTAAAAGCTGGAAGGGGTTGCAAGTGCCATGAGGGCAACTCCCTGCCATGCAGCTATATACAGCTGGAGCACTCCTGAAAGATGCCTATCATGGTAGTCTACTGCAATGTCAAGCTCTTACACTGTCAATGAGCAAATGTTAGTTCTGAAAGGACCCCATTTCAGACACCCTGCTAGTCTTTGGTTAGAGGCACTGAATGATTTTTAAAGGCAACATTCACCAAGCTGGCCAGATGAAAAAAAAATCAAACAAAATATCATCTTTCCATTCTCCTGCCCCCACCCCCATTCTACCCTAAAACTGTAGCATAAAAAGAACTTTCACTGTGAAACTAATCATACATCATGTGTTCTAACAGCACTGGAAATGAGGTAAGTACTTTTTTTTCACCCATATAGATCATTCTTTGGACACAAAGCAATGGATTTAACAGTACAGGAAAAGTGATCCCATCTAAACATAAAGAAGAACCTCCTGATAGTAAGAGTTGTTTGACAATAAAATAGGTTGCCTTGGAATGTAGTGGAATCTCCTCCTTTGGAGCTTTTTAAACATAAGCTGGATGGTCATCTGTCAGGAGTGCCTTGTTTGTGCATTCCTTTATGGCAGGGAGTTAAATTGTATAGTGCTTGGAAACGTCTTTGAATTCTAGATTCTATGATCTATCACATGAATGGGTATGTTTGCACATCAAAATAAAACATGATTTGCGTTATTTATGGTCTGTTACTGAAGCCAAGACCTGAACAGACGTCCTTTCCCACCTTCCACCACCCAAAAATCAATGGTGCACATTCCTGTTTGGCTTCTAGCTTATTTTTCTTATATTCTGTGAGCTCTGTATCAATGAGGGGAACTGATAGTAAACCATGAGGTTCAACAAGTTTTTAGGTCTCATTTAAAGAGGCTGAGGTCATTGGCCAACAACAAACTATGGGCTTATATTGTGGTATATAAACTGGTTAACAAAAATATAATTTCTTAGTATAGGCAGATTTACATATAACCTCATCATGCTTCAACAAACTAAATTACCGATATGGCTTCAATTTATATGCAAATATGGACATTCTATGTTGAACTATAATTACTGTTAACTAAATTATACAACTTGACCAAAATTTAACAGGAAAATAAAATTATAACTACATGTAACAAAGCCAATGTTTTCACTCCTCTGCCTATGTAGCAACTGTTATTAATCTTGTATTACTATGCATAACCTTTTTTCTACAATTAATGCTGTTTAAAAATGGTCAGATTCATTAAACTCCTACTAATAAGGATTTAAAATTTCTTATTATTCACAACAGTGTTCCTGCCCTTTCCAAGCAAGCATCCAAATAAGGATCTCATCATAACAACTAGTTTTCTAGTAATGCATTTCTCACATTTATTTAATATGATTCAGTTGGATTATCCCCCAAATAGCTTTTCAGAACCAATACAACATCACCAAAATGTGATTCGGGATGATTTAAATTTCTGTCATGCTGAGAATTACTTCCATACTTACAAATTACTTTCATATCAGAGAGCACAATCCAATACTGCTCCCAAATACTATGTCTTCTCTTACACTCAAACCATCATGAAATGGCCTGGTTAGTGAACAACAAGAAATGTTATGCTGGTGATTTGGAATGTAAAGCTGGTTCAAAATCTGTGATATGGGTTTCTAACTTCTTAACTATTTTTTCAGTTTTGCTTAGTATAAATATAGGAAAATCCTACAACAGAATGATAAAATCAATAATTAGCTATTATAGAATGAAAAACAAATAAATAAAACACCTTACTGAAAAATTATATTTACATCAGATAAGTAGTATCAATGGATATACAAAAACTCTGAAACCACATCTCAATCTATTTAGCATGCTGTTGTCCACATTTTGTATTCGAATGCACATTTACAGTGCACAAAGACCCTAAATTCTGTATCGGTCCATATGATTAGTAAGTCTGTATGAAGGAAAATAAACAGAAAGCTTGTCTTCAAGTAAGTTATAAATTCCAAAGAAAAGTGCACTCAGAATATTATACTCCTTTGTAGATGAAATTCAAGACTAGTGAAACAATTTAATTAACTGGCTTTTAAAACCTTTTAAGAAAACCACTAAACAAATTATTTAGTAGTTTGCTGCCCCCACTAGGCAAGATCATGTATACACTACTTAAAGCTCAGAGATCTTACCTAATTTAAAACAAACCATATGATAAGGCCTGTTTTTAGCCTCCTTTAGATTTTAAGAGGAAGCACTTTGCTTTGCCCAAGTACTTTAAAGCACATTAACATATATCTTTGTGCTCAACATCTGGACATAAACCAAAGAGAATAAATTAAATCAAGCAAATAAGAAGGTGGACTTAAACAGCACCATAAAAAGACAAGGCCCTTCTTGAAAGATTTAAAATTTCACATATTGAAGCAGATACAAAGAATGGGGGAGTATTTATTCTCACTATAAAAAAGTGGAGAAGTCCTGGTTCATTACAAAACTATACCATGTCACTCTAAGAGAGTAACAAAACAGGGCTTTTTCAAGGGCCTCTTGCACAAAAGCAGAATAGCTTGAAGTCCATAGAGCTTTAGGTACAAAACAGCTCTCTTCAATTAGCATGTG